ATAACAAAAAACAAACAACAGCAACAGCAGTAATTCCAATGCTAAAGCTTTGATTGGACTGTGTTATTTTGAGTTGCAGAGGTGAAAGCAAATATTTCAGTACAAATGTATGTTTCAATTATGTGCAATCAAGTCGCCTCTGACTTTTGGTGATCTTCACCAATTTTTTTTGAGGTGCAAGAGATGTTCAAGGAAAATTGCCACACACACCTTGAACAAAGGTGTTTGAATCCTATGTAGACTAGATCTGTTTAACCTTCTCTTTATTGTGTTACTTTCCCACATGTTGGACTTCTTGTGCAGGAAAGGGAACATTAAAACATAGATGACAGCACCACCATCCACCTGTACACACCGGTGCAGCCTAAAATGCTACAGTACTGGGCAAAGCACTGCCATTTTGATTCTGCTGGCAGTATAAAGACACTACTAATGTGTTGCGGATGAAGATTATATCTGCTTTTTTGTAGCCCTTAATGCCACCGAGGAATGTCAAATATTGAGAAATAAAAAGGAATAGAGAAAACAGGTGATTTTGCCAAGAATCGTTGCCATGGGTACAGTTATCATTCCACCTGTACTGTAAATAACTTGTTTAATGTCCTATTCACATTCCACAATCAAATGCAGATGCTCCGATAGATTAGCCAGTCAAAGAAACCTGATTCGCCTCTTGGTGCACTGCCACTGTGGACCAACCACTTCATGCCGAGGTAAAAGAAGCAAAATTAACACAGATTCTTACGGGGTGTCATTCATTGTGATTGACAGCTTACAAAGAAAACCCTGGTATCCTTTCCTTCCAAGGAGCAGTGAATGTTTTGAAAAATAATACCATATAGATTTTCATTTCCTTAATAGCTAAAACGATTTCATCTGAAATATGCTTGGTGTTAAGGTTTCCTTGCTTTGTGAATGAGTGAGTGAGTCAGCCTTTGCTTCCATGGTTACCGCTACAAACAAGGCCACAGACATTCAATAAGGCCAGAAGAAAGCAAATGTCTACTCAGTAATTCCATAGTGGGTGAAGTGTATGGTATGTTCAGTAGAAACAAAAGGCAAAGAAGACCCCCAAGTGGGCAGTTTATAGTGATACATTCTTGTGTCACAATTTCTAATTGAGGAAGGGATGCCAATTTCGTCAGGAGCTCAAGGACACGTTGGATTTGGAGTGGATACATCCATCCAATGGCTTCCTAAGGGAGGAAAAAAACATCATTTGCCGCTGAGTGACAGGGTCAATTCCTATCTCCAGAGGTAAGTGCTTCGTCCTTGCGCTAGGAAATCTTTAGCTACAAACGCAATAATCGAAAATTGCCAGTAAACAGTTTTTCGGGGTGACAAAGTCTTCATGCAAAAGTTGTTAGTAGTACCGTGTTTCCCTGAAAATAAGGCAGGGTCTTACATTAATTTTTGCTCCAAAAATGCATTAGGGCTTATTTTCAGGGGATGTTTTAATTTTTTTTCATTTACAACAATCTACATTTATTTAAATGCAGTCCTGTCATCTTCTTCTGGTTGCTGCACAAGGGTGGAGGGCGGGGTGTCACTTAACTGGGGCTTCTTTTGGGGGTAAGGCTTATATTACAAGCATCCTGAAAAATCATACTAGGGCTTATTTTCAGGTTAGGGCTTATTTTCAGGGAAACAGGGTAATACTGGTTGCTAAAAGAATAAAACAGTGCCTTTGTACAGCTAAGCATCTAGAAGCCATAATATAAAAGGAAACAATAACAACAGGGATGGAGCAA